GTTGTCTATGGCTATCCATAAATTAGAAAAAAAAGCGCAAACAGAAACATCAGTAAAATACTTATGTTAAATACTTATGTTTCATAGACTTTTAATGTAGGCAACGTTTAGTACATTTAAATAAATTAACTTTTATTTATGGCAGAAGTAATTTAATTTAATGACTCTTCACTTGCTGCTTGCATGCCATGATGTGTTCGAAGCAATGATTAACCAGTTTCATACCAATTTGCCAATCTGATTTTCTTATAAATATAGATGTCTATCTTTAGTTGTAGCCTGTATATCACTTATTGCTCATTCAACTCTGTTGCTCGGCCTGCATTTATATGAAAAACAATGTTCGCCTTGTTTCAAAAATTGTAGACATTTTAGGTGGTTGCATGTGAACTAGGCCGTCGGCGGTGCCATACGGTGATTGCCGCAGAGTACTGACATAAAAGACCCCCTTTTTGGGCATAGCCGGTTCGCCACCCATGAATGAGTCAGCGGGACATGTCGCAGCACTGAACTTGGTGTGCTTGCCGCTGTTGTTGCAGCCACAGGTGAGCTTACGTATGCTCTGCAGGGATCTGCAGCGCACCGCGCCAAACATCTTTGGCCGGCGCACAGATTCTGCAAAGTAGAAGACGGCGCCAAAGTGGTCGCAGCTGATGTCAAGTTCAGTGGCAGTTGCATTCGGGCAGTGCGGCTGTCCAAGGCCCCAGTTGGGGAATATTGCTGCCTGGCTGAGTCGGTTGCCTTCAGGATTACCGAGCAGCTGCAAATCTGTGTGTATGGACTCCACATAGATGGCATCGGTGGGTGCCAGGCGCTCTGAGGGTCCCACGCCGAGCTGTGAGAGACCGGCTGGATCGAGCGCAAAGATGGCGCCCAGGCGTGCAGGGGTCAAATGCTTGCCCGTTAGACCGGCTATGTGGCTGCCYGCACTGTGGCCCACCAAATAGATGTTCTCGTAGGGAACGTCCGCATACTCGTGCAGAAAACTTAGAAATTGGGCAACACTGGCAGCAATCGAACGGAACTGCTTGGACACACGAGAGTAGTTAATATCCATAGCCTGTTGGCTCCAGTCCATAACGATGACATTAAAGTCGCCGCGCGACAAATACGCATCCTTAACGGCTGCATTGTAGCAGGTGGTGCTCTTGCCCGTCCAGCCGTGTATGATGACTCTGTGTTGATTCGCAAAGGCCAAATTTTATAATTGCTCCATGACATTCATAGACTACTCTACCTGACTGGCCATTTGCCATTAAAGTTAGATTTCCTTAGCAACTGCACATTCCCCGGATGGAGCAGCTGACGCTCTTGTGGATTGTGCGGCGTATAGAGATCGTACTGTAATAAGCTGGCCTGGCTAACGTGCCTTGAGGGACGTGTCAAACGTTTCAAACTCGTATTAACTAAGCCCTCCACGACATCGGCCATTGCAATTTCGCACTTGCCGCGCTCGTAAGCAAACAGCCGTTTGCCAGCGGATACATCTATACAAAAAAAAAACCATAGATTACGGATAACGACTCATAAACAATTGTCATTAAAATTTAAAAATCTCTGGCAGACTAACTCACTTCCAGCTGGCAGCAGCAGCAGCAACATTAGCGTAACGCTGTACAACAACTGCATTGCGAAATTTGATAAAAAAAAAAAAACGAATTAGATAAAATTAAATTAAATTTAATTAAAATACCGAGTCAAGTTTAAGGTAAACGCGCGACAATAAATCAATAAATTTGGCTCAGCTCACTAAAAGTCTGACAGCGAAAATTTGTGAGNTATTATATTTTATTAATATATTCTACATATTTTTATCAATATATCAATCAAAAATTTATGAAAGTGACGCAATATTACCTACTTTAAATTGACCTACTTTCAAGTTTTGTTTACACTTTCTGTAGCATATTCAGATTTCGACTGAACGATAAATAACTTTTGCGAGTCACTTTCCATGCTCCGATTCTAACGAACAATCTTTGTTAGCTGGTCAGACTAAGTAATTATGCATACAAAACAAAAATTCGTGAGCGGAGTCGTTGATCTTTTGTTACAACATACTACTAACTTTTCTCCACTGGGTTGCCTTTCTCAACAGAGCTAAAAAGTATATGGTTATTTATATATACATTTTGAGTATTTGTAAGTCGTTTGTCATTATTCATAAAATCTTGAACAAACATACCTCCTCTGGATGTATTCGGGGCTCGGGTTCAACTATAACAAAAAAGTTTGTGTTTTCTAAGTCATTTAGCAGGTGTTTCGTGTCGTAGTATCAAAGTGTGATTTCGTTTTATGACTTGACTTATAACATCTAAACGTTTGACTTCAGCATTTGAATTTCATCTCGTCGGTATTACTGTTGACACTTTTTATGGCAAAAACATTTATCTGAGCGTTCAACTCATTCGTGACACGTTACACAGTTTATTGACTGAATTTATTTAATTAATTAAATAATGTTAGCTTATCATACGAGATGAGCCACAAAGAGTATTGAACATATTGATGTGATAAATGCATTAAGTATTTAATATCATGTAAGTGTTTGCGTCTCATGCAAAGAGTATTGAATATATTGGTGTGATAAACTCATAAAGTGCTTCATTTATACTGAAAGTATTTTAAATGCGGCCTATACTGTGGCCAAACAGTGCGCATAACACTAAAACACTAAAGCTCTAAGTTGCTTTATCTATTAAAATCATAAAGACCTTGTGCATTTAATATGAGTACTCAAGCAGCTCAAGTGCACTGTGTCACGACAGTCGTACAGGGTATCTGCTTGTCAATCTGCTTGTCAATTGTGACATACTTTTCTACACAGCATTGTCATTTTGTCACGAACGTCTTGCCTTTAGCTTTTATTAAAGCCGTATTTAATATCAAAAGTTTTTATTGTTTGGTGATAAAAATACATATACGTATCTTAGTCCGCAAAGAAAATATCTACAGTTATTTTGGTCATACTATATAATGTATATTTTGGATACGTACGAATTATATTTGTGTTACAAAAATAAGCTGGATATTTAGCAAGTGCATTGAAAAACAACGAAATGTTTCATATCTGAAATTGACTCGACAGCTGAATTTCGCAGCTCTGAATATGCACCTTTATTCACGTAGTGATTCTGTTAATAGATCTTTAAGTACTCCCTGTGATTTATTGCCTGTGCAGCAGGAGCATGTGTAATTTTGCTGACAGGCATCAATTTAAATCAATTTGTAATTTTAAATACAGCACGTTTCATTCATTCAAGTTCTGTTTAATTTCGACTAAGACTGTTCTTCTTTTGGATTGTCACATAACAAAATTTGATTGATTTGAAAGTCAAGTGATAGTCATCAGCTTTAATAGCCTAAAATCGAAGGGTTAATTTCAGGAGTGTAAACAGTCTTAGAGTAAATCAAGATTATATTAAAATATTAAATTACTTTAGAATTATCTGTGAACTAATTTTGGTTTAAATATTGAAAAAGTCTTATATTATTTATTGTTAGCGAAATTCTTGCTCTTTTCCTCTAATTTTGATAATTTATTACAGATATTCGATGAGCTAAAATTATTTGACATATAAGAATTTGATTTTAAAGCTCACAAGCATTTGCACAATTAAAAGATATTAATTCTCGACTGATTAGCACATTTAATTTATTAGCAAACTTACACTTCCTAATTTGAGTTCCCTCAACTCATGATATATCTATGTATATAAAAATATCATTTTCACTTTCTATAAACTTTTACTTTTTTTCGCAAGTTTAGTTTTAATTTGCAGCAATTACTGTTTTCCCATTTATTCGACTATTCGATTTGGTCATTTCGCTGTGATTTGTAATTTTGGTAAAGTGTTTCTATACAGCTGGGCTTGAGTATAGTCTCTCGCTGCTTCATATTCATATTACTTACTAGGGCTGGTTGGCTGGTTTTCGATTTCCTGTTCTCATGCAACTGTGAATCCCTACTTAATGCTCGCATTTGCTCACAAAAACTTTTGACGTCACTTGTGGCAAGTCCACATTTTTTCTTCGGACTCTCAGCTCAGCTTCGGTGACGCTCG